CCCTCACTTCATATCACTCACAATGATCAGTAACCATGTGGCGACATGGAAATAGGAGTGAGTCCATGTGAACTGATACATGACAAACAGATGAAGATGGAATTGTTGGAAATATTTGGTGGTAAAGTGAAAACTCCGACGTATGCCAAACGTTGTATGCAATCAACCGACTATCCTGATCGGTAGATCTGATTAGAATGAAATGGATATACTGCTGATCAAACACATACTCGTTATTTGGTGTTTTGGATCATGGATTCATTCTCGCCATCTTTCTGACTGCAATGTTCATATTGCGGACTCTACACTTATACTTTTCTACTCAGCAACTCTGTTGGGAGTTGCTTAAAGTCAACATGTTAGAATGTTGTAAATACATAGACCAACAGGTCAACATATGAAATAGTCTGGAATACATTTGCTATCATGTATATTTGTGCCGATCATTCAGTCTACGTCCTGTCAACCATACTCATTTGATGGACGCTATGCATGAAACATTCACGAAGCAGTCATGTACTCTGACAATAAGGCTGTTCATTGACTTTAGGTGCAACCATGTGAACAAACTCTGAATGCGACGAAATCTCAAGCTGTCGATCCGATTTAGGCGTAAAATGTCGATGTAATGATCAGTCAACCAGCATTCTACATCAGGCTTCAAAATCTGAAACAAAATCACAGGAATTTGAGGAAGTCAAATTACATTGATATGCTTCAAGTCATAGTAATGTCGCCATGAAAATTATTTATTCTCAAGAAAACACGCTTCATAGTAAGAGTAAACAAAATACAGGAAATCAGCAAATCATTCACGTCGTAAATGTTATGCAGAACTGTCGCTTTTACAAAATATCCTCGATCTGTACAGCCTTCATTTTCGAATCCAAAAATACAATATAATCAGGATTGCTAAGACGGCTATCGACACCAAGGTTATGACAACGACGGTAATCAGCACATTTCTGCCAACTTGCAATGAAAAGTAACAAACAAATAGGCAATTCAGCAAGAGTATGATGAGACGAAAAACTCGTGTTTCAATTCACTTGCACGTTAGCATTCAAGAAAACACAATTTACATAAGCAGTTATGTCAACACTCACTTCGGTCAGAATACATAAGATTGTTATGCATTCCCAGCTTATTCATCTGATTTGAGGCATTTTCCATGCATTCCAAATGCTGTCTATGACACCTGTCCTTGCATCCACAGTGTGCAGTCACATTGGAAGATGATGCTGACTAACCAGATCTACTACCTGTGAACATTATTTGACGACTAAGCATATGCATCACACCTACATTTGCTTTGATCACTGGTGTTCAGTGTGGTACTGGTTTACTTGAGTTTTCGGAGTGTGTATTCCTAGGTCTGACAAGTTGGTGTGGCAGGTAAACAGGATTTCATCGGCCAGTCACGACGATTTTCCTGACAGATTTGTGTGCTTGATTTATATAAAGATTTTATGTGAGCGACGGAGATACATATTCGCTCTCCACCGAACCGATATCTGTTGACAAGTACAGATTTGTGATTCAGTATTAATCAGTGATGAAATATGAGGGTACACTTGATGGACATTGTGAGCAATAAGACAGAATCAGTCATCCTACTTATGGATCTCTCATAACGTTAAGATCAGTTACTTAAGAAGAACACACTGCACACACCTCAAGAAATCCTAACAATTAATGACCATATGTCCATTTTATTTGTGGCATCTGGGAGAATAGATCTTTGAAATAATTATTAATAAGCACAAATTGGTTCCCAGCGTGTAACCAATGCAGTTGTTTGGTGCAGGGTGTCCACCAGGTACAGACTAGCAAAGTAGAACCAGTTTTCTCATGTTCATGAATGATAACAAGCACAAAACCTAGGTCTTCAACTGTGAAACAAGACATTCATTATTCTAATTTTCCATTTCCTACACAACAACCTCAGCCAAACTTCATGTCAATAGGTATCTGTTTGAATTCTAGCTACTTTTATACTTCTAGATAATGTGTCACCAATGGCCATCCTGACACCATGGATCACCTGTCTCATTCTTTTGTCCTTAACTTACCCACTGAATATCTGTGGAACGTGCAGTCGATAAAGAAACAGAAACGATCAACTCTATGAGATACTGATTCAGTGAAAACACTTTCGTTCTACTGCATTCAAACGAACAGATGTGCATACGTGTGATAGATGAGTTGTAAGTGAAACGTACCAGATGAACGAGAACCAGGTGGATTAACCATCGAAGTTGACATCGCAGACTGACTGGTGGTTTGTTGTGGAATGTTTGTCGACTGAGTGGTCACCGCATCCTCTTTCTCCACCGTGGGTATTTCCAAGGAGGAGGTTACAGCGTCCAGTCCCGTTGATTCCCGCATTATCGAATATTCGTATTCACTAGCTAGGTGATGCAATTGAATGAACAGTGTCAGTGAATGTAGGTATGAACGAAAATCGGTTGTAGTGAGTGCTTTTCAAAATGAACACGTGAATGCATGGTTTCTCATCCAACAGATGACTGGAAACAAGAATTTTACATTTGTGATTTCACAGCTGTCTCTACTTAAAAATTCCTTTTCCCTATGTTGGCCGTCATTTTTGACTAATGTTGCACAATGTGAAAGCATCAACACAAGTGAAGGAATTCGTCTTCTTAGTCATTATCTTACTTATTCAGATTGAGATTTATTGTTTCAGGATAGATGGCAATCAGGCAACATTAACCCTCTGCCAGCAGATCCCTATGCTTGTCCTGTCCACATTTGTGTGTGTTTATCTATTTCGGAGACGGCATGTCTCCTAGAATCTACCTGTAGTATTTTCTTCTCTTACTTCATAACTGTTATTAAATTTAATTGACTTTTGTGTTTTCTTTTTTCTTCGTCTTCTGTTCTTTCTGTTTTCTTCGGAATTAATGTAAGGTTGTTAGTGTAGTTATATCAAGGCTAATACTAATTTAAGCTTTTCTAGACTTACTTTTCTAATGCAATAAGTAATGCAGTAGATTTTCAGTTCATCATGTTGGTTTATGATGTTCAGGCTATTCATCATAATGATGATAAAATTCATTTATTTTTCTCAAAATATCCGAGATCATTTGAGCCACCTTTCAGACTACCTGGACACATGGTCACAGTCTCGGTTGTATTGTGTTCTCTGAGCTCGGCTGTTTAATCGTGAACCTTTCATCGTCTTTCTAGATGACACCATCAGCACTAACTTCAGTAATAAGTGAGCTGTCAATATTTCTTCACGAATGACTCAACAGCTTGTCCTGACAAACTGCTTTGTGATTGGTTGTTTCCTTTGATTGTTGTGTTATTGACTGTATAGGTTTTCCTGCTGCTTGTTCCTCTGCTTGACCTCTGACCTTCCTGTAGTTTCCAACTTTTCTCATTGGTTGATAGATTCTGTCTGTGTCTATACATCTGTTGATTACTGACTGTCCTGAATGCCAAGCTTCTAGAAATTCTCTGATATTCCTTGTGTTTCCTCTCTCCGTCCAAAATTTCTAGATTATCGAAATTGAATTCATGTCCATAATAATCCATATGCATTGAAATAAGTGATGAAATGATGTGACGTTTAATAGCTAACTGGAAACGACCAATCACAGACCACCTCGTCAGAACAAGCTACTAAATCACTCGCAGAGACATCATGACAGATCACTTCATAGTGAAGTTAGTGCTGATGATGTCGTCTAGAGGGACGATGAAAGCTTCATGATTAAACAACCCAACCCAGAGAACACAATACAACCGAGACAGTCCACCTGAGCTACAAAAAATTCTTCACTATTTCAAAAGCATATACAAAGTCTTCTTGTTTTAACATAATTGTCGGTGTACATATGCTAATGAGCATGTTACGACTTATTTTAGTAAATGTTCTGTGCAGCCAACAGAGTGGCTGAGGAGTGCAGGATTTCCCATTCAACAGCAACCTGAGCTGTTGTCTTCCACTCAAAACTTATTTTGACTCGAAGATTAAAATTAGATTTCACATTATAATGTAGCATTTTCAATGTAACATAAGGTACCAGTTATATGATCACGGACGCTTAGTTATAAATTATAAATCTCAAATTATCAAGAGGTGATAATTGATAAAATTAGTTTCAAATGTAGTTAAATTTTAAAATAAATGCGCCATAAAATCTGCGTACCAAGTGGTTGCATAGTGGGTAGTTTGTGCAAAGAGGACTAACAAATCAAAAAATGCTTGAATATATCAATCTATAAGTTCTTGACAAGAATTAGATAGTGGAACTTAGAGCCTGATATAACTGCGTCAACAGGAGCAGAATGATTGGTGAATTCACGAAGATAATACAAATCGGGTTGTTCGACCTCTATGATAACAAAGTACGATGAATTTCGCTGGGTGATATGAGCTTCACTTCAAGTTTCAGTATGGTCTGCTTCTAATCAGTTGTTTATTGAGCAGCATAAAAATGGAATTTGATGGGCTGCCAACTACTTGAAAGTTACAAAGATATGAACTAGACACTCTGTTTTCCACCAGACAAATCGCATTGATGTCCGTGCGGGTTTCATGAATTTCACAACCAATATGTCATCACCTTACTCTACATACTTGTTAGTAATATTGAGTTCCATATTGAAATGATTGAGAATATTTGTAGCTCAGGTGGATGGTCTTGGTTGTATTGTGTTCTCTGAGCTGGGTTGTTTAATCGTGACTAAACGATTAAACAACCCAGCTTAGAGAACACAATACAACCATGAGTTTCATATTGTTTTCGATTGTCAATAAAAATGTCTGTTAATTTGTTGAATCTAAAAACCTGCAGTCATTGTCCCTTCGAGTAAAATATTACTGAAATACCTATCAGGATTTCCAGAGGATGTTCTCATGTGATATTTCAGAAATACAAATTATTGGATTGGAATCTGTGTGATCAGAGGTAATGCGTGATGATGATGCATTCCATCAACAATCAAATATTTGACAAAAGAGATAGAAACTATGTCATATCTGTTGGTGATGACATACCTAATTTTGTGGGTTCAGTGGGTAATGCAGAAGATATATTCGATATCAGAGTGTAATGATAATCTTGCATAAGTTCAAGGTCAAGTTTTACGGGGGTTGTAAACACAGCGTTTAACTCCCCTCCAGTATATTGGGATACAGTTCCATTAGGATGAGTGAAATTGACCACAGAGAATTTTGCGTCGTTGCAAATTATATGCAAGCCATTAACACCAATATTCACCATATCGTCAAATATCTGTATGCGGAAAGAAAAGTTCGAGGACCGATTAAAAAAGAGTTTAAGTGTTCACGTTTGGAATACACATTAATAAACGATGAACACACAAACCTTTTACTCCTTGATTACATATTTTATCAACACATCAGCTGAACTAGATTACAAGGTTTGGGATAGCGTCTCCTTTATTTTTATCACAAATCATATTTCTACTATCCATCATTGTTTTCGATTTCGAAGTGCGGTGAATCGCGATTCAAAATGGTATTGTCACCACTGATCCACCAGCACAATTAGAATCTTGGATAGATGATGTAATTACACATGTGAAGGAATTTCGACGATAGTGAATACATCTGTGAATCAGTTAACTGATCAGTATCAATGTCTCTGGTGTGATATTACGTAATGTTATTGAGTGGATGAAGTGATTCTACCTGGCAGAGTGTGCTTTCGGCCGTGTTGTGCTGACCATGCGCAAATATACTCTCCCTCGTTTTCCAGTCTTTGGTGGACTTCAGATGATGTGAATAACCGAACAGATTTCAGTACACAATGTATCTCTGAGCAGCTATACAGTGTATGCAATGAAACGGGATTATGAAGCACTCATTCATACTATGCACACAAAATGCTGGCTTTGTTCGTGAGACATGGACTTATCAGAAGTGTTCACGCATTGCTTCGTCGCGATAGTGTTTCGGGAAATATTTCGATTCTAGATACCAGTATCCTACTCATGGAATGTTAGTTTTACCGTACAGCATTTGAACTACAGAATCGACACGTATGTGTAAACAACCACTGTGAGATTTGGAATACTGAAATTTCGCAGAATAGGATAAGTACGATTTTCGTGATATCACATAACCTCGCCTGGTTAACTAGTCCACTAGTTACTAGTCGGTCCTAATCCCGGGTTTACAAGGAAGGTTGAACGTATGGCTAGCAACCTTTCCACGTAAAACTAATCCAATCGTTAACGAAACTTCAAAGCACAAGGAAAGTATTAGAAATAAAAATAAACTTATTCCCCGCTGGAATAGGAGAGACGAAATGACGCCTATTGGTGAAAGCCTTCGGGAAGCAAGTCAGCCGATGTGACTTCTCTTCTCTCCATGAAAGCAAAAGTGAGGATAGGGAAATAGAATGTCCGCACCATGTATGAACCTAACAGGGCTGCACAGATTATCGAAGAGATGAGAAGATATGGTATGGGAGTGATTGGAATCCGCGAATGCAGATGGAACGGAAGTGGACTCTCCAAACTCTTAACCGGAGAGTCAGTAATATACCCCGGTCACCCAGACGACAACCACGAGCATACTGAGTTTTCCAGTGTCTATCATGATGTCCCCAAGTGCATCGAAGGCTCTTAATAAATTGGGAACCAGCCCACTCCAGGATCATGACTGCAAGATTCAACTCAAAAGGAAGGACAGTCACAATCATACAATGGTATGCTATGCACCCACAAATACTGCAGATCAAGATAAGAAGGAGGAATTCTACAGACAACTTCAATCAGTAGTGAACAAGACGCCACTCCAGTTGGAGATATCAAAATTCTAAAGAGTGACATGAATGCCGAACCGGGAGGGGACAACACAGGAGGAGAACTGACCATGGGTCGAGAAGCAGTCGGTGAAATGAATGAGAACGGAGAACTGTTTGCAGAGTTCTGCGCATCCAAAGGCTTGGTGATTGGAGGCGGCGTGCACAGACACGAGGATATTCACAAGGCAGCGACATGAAGTTCACCAGACACCAGAACGCACTAAAATCGACTTCAGATCGACTTCATTCCAATCTGAGGAAAGTGGAGACGCAGTCTACTTGACACAAGATCAGGAAGATGGGCGGACGTAGGTTCAGACCATTATCTAGTGCAAGAAACTTTCCAAATCAAGTTGAAAGCCTTCAAGGAGGTTGGTGATAGATCACAGTTCAAGTTCAACACCCAGAACACAAGCTGAAGGACGAAACTACAAAGCACATCTTCACGTTGTCAGAAATCAGAACAAAATGGGAGACATTGAGAAACATCCCTGAAGGATCGGGCGTGGAAGGACACTGGAAATCTTTGAAGGCTATATGGAAAGAAACCTGCATAACCGTATTAGGACGGAAAGGAAGCAGGGCAAGGAATGGATCTTCACGGATACACGGATGCTAGTAGAAGAGGGGAAGATGGTGAAGCAGATGAGCCAGTGCAAGGATGCACAACGAAAAGACGAATTCAGTACAACGTACAAAACTATGCACGGAGAAGTGAAGGAGAGTGCAGGCGAAGACAAAAGATGCTTCTACGACACGTTGGCAAGTGAAGCAGAATAGGCTGTTGGTAAGAGAGACGTGGCAATACTACACCAAATAACCAGGTTACTATCCGGAAAGAGATCAACGCGGACGAAAACAATGAAAGATAGTGAAGGAAACTTAGTTACCAAAGAGGAGAAATAATGGAAACAGTGGGTTGGCCACTTCAAAACCTCTTGAATCGACCACCTGTCACCCGCAACTAGTCTGGAAATACCACCAGCAGCCCAGCCACAGAATTACCAGTGAACATAAGCCCTTCGACAAAAGCGAGAGTCTTAAACCCCTTAAAGTTGGTGAAATCTGGAAAGCAGCAGAACCAGATAGAATTCCACCAGGAGCACTGACGTTGGTAAGAACAAGCCACGTGTGGACCAAATTGTAACACTACGCCTCATGGAGCATAGAATGGCAGTCAACACTCTACCTCAACTTCATCCAGTTTGAAAAGGCCTTCGATACAGTCGACCGAGAAGTAGTTAGCCAGACAGCTGCTTCAATACTATGGAGGGCCATAAATCGTTATCAACCTCATTCAACAGCTATACGCAAACGCCACATGCCAAGTGATCATCAGTGGAAAGCTCAGGAATTCCTTTGAAGTGGAGACACGAGTAAGACAAGGTCACCGTCTACTATCACCGATGGTCATCCTGATTGTGGTCAACCGGACAGGATCATGCAAAAAGCTATGAGCAGAGAATGGGTATAAGCTGGCTGGACCGATGAAAGGACCCCAAGAGGAGATTTGGATTTCGCCGATGATGATTTGTGTCTGATGTCGCACAAACTCGAAGATCTGCAGGCAAAGACCAACAGGTTGACAGAAGAGGCAGCGAAGACGGGACTTCAATTGAACGTAGAGAAGACGAGTGTGATGAAGATACGCAACCAACAACAACAAGAGGCATCAATCATCATTGACGGGAGAAGCCTAAAGGAAGTAGTCTCTATCATCTACCTGGGCAGCATCGTTTCAACTACAGGTGGCACAGGCGAGGATGTCAAAGCCAGGATCGGAAAGGCAGTAAGACAGGGTTTCATTAATCCGAAGTCAGTGTAGAGATCTACTGCACTCCACTCAGCACAAAGAACAAGATCCGGATTTTCAACACCAATGTCAGGCCAGTCCTACTATATGGTTCAGAAACCTGACATGTTACGGAAAGCATTTCCAGCAAACTATTGACTTTCATCAACAGCTGCCACCTACGCTCACTTGATACTGAAGATCAAATGGCCAGCAAGACTAGGCGACGAGGAACTGTGGGAACGAACAAAACGAGAACCTATTGTCCAACAAATATGCAGAAGAAAGTGTAGATGGATTGGGCATACATTGAGAGGGCCAACTGGGCATATTGCACTGCAGGTCAGGCTCTCGAGTGCAGTCCGAAGGGGAAACGGCGAGTTGGTAATCCAAGGTGAGGGTGACATGTGGGAGATCATGGGATAAATAAAAGAAAGTTTGTGGGCAGTCGTGGGGCCAGGTTAAAAAGATTTCAGAGAACAGAATTCACTGGAGACGTGCTACTGAATCCCTATGTTCCACTAGGAATCCAGGGGAAAAATAATAAATGAATCATGTTATCGCAAACATACCAATCGTAAAATATCTCATTTCGCAAAATGAAGCGATTTATCAGTGAATCAACAATTGAAGTATTTATAAGTATCATAACTTTGTGTCTTTTATAGGAAGTCCCTGTTGTTTCAATATTTACTCATATTCATGCAATCTGTCAATTTACCTTTTCACAGAAGAATTCGGTCACCCTTTCATACTTATATGTGCTGTTATTTGCGTAGTCGGGATCCCATATAATACATTCATTGTGTTCTTCATTACATTCTACATTCAGTCGAAATGTGTATGTCACTGCAAAATAAGATGAAAATTGTCAGCTAGATATGCTCACAAGTTGTATTATATCGGGTATTCTGAACATCAATGAAACACCTTGCAAATTGTACCTATCATGCAAATTGTTTCTAGCTAAGCCTTTCCCTCATCCACACAAACCAACGACATGTTGATTGGTTCTTTTCGTAAGTAAATTAAATAATGCTTAAGTCGTGTTAAATCAAGCATGAAAGTCAGTTCACCCTACAAAGAACAGTTAATCTGGAGTTTGGTCACTTCACTAACTGCATCGAGAAGTCACTACAACACCATCAACCAGTAGCTGGTCTCTTCAAACTACAATGTTTTCTGTATTCCGTCGAAGACATTTTCAAATCACAACACCAACCATCTCACATTATATACCATATAGCAGTCAGAAAGGCAGTCTAACAGTTCCCACTCAATTTGAACATGATAAATGGTACATGTGTCTCAAGCTGACAGTGGGAACAGTGCCTGTCACTCAATACCTTCAGTGTGTTTGTTTTGCAATCACATGGAATCTTTGATGCTGTTTTGCTTGAGCTGTTCATCATGTTGAGACGAAAGCGTTTATCCAGCCATGCCAATCTTTCTAAGACTAACACTTGTTCTGATGATCACTAGTTATGTCAATTAACCATAAACAGTTATTCCATACTGCCCATTAAAATGAAATTCACACCTTGAGAAATAATGAACTTGTTTCCTATAAGTTAAATGGGTGTAAGGAAACAGTTTTCACTAGGTTACTAGGTGAATTGCCTTGAGACTTCATAACATCATATTCATCTACATGCCTAGTTTGCTAAAATAGCGTCTCATAAGATGTGAGGAAATAGGTGGAAGAAGAAGACTGAAATAGCACTGTTGTCTCAGATGTCAAGCGTATGCTGGAGTTCTAGTGGTAACTTCAATAATATATCGACTTTTACCCCAACGAAAACCAACATGATGTCCTTATACATCATGCAAGTATGTTAAGTCCACGAAAAAGTTCAATCCTTACACCTGGTGTGAAATGATGTTAGATGAATAATGCTGCGACAACCTCCGATCACAGCTGCTGCCTCCACAACTTCATGCTACAACGAGGGTAGTTATTTTGAGTAGCTGTGGAAGTTTCATCACAAATCTTCTCTCTTATAACTCATCCAATGTTTGTGCAAAATGTGTACCACGTGAATGAGGCTATTCTGCAGATGGATTTGTCTGAACTTGAGATAACGCTTATATGAAGTTGATATGCATTAAACCAATAGCAGTTATCAGAAATGAAAATTTGTTGAAAAACAGTAACTTGCCTAAAGGTAACTTTGTGGATGATGCATCAACATGCTGTGACTTGATTACGCTTGATTGAATCGCGAGTAAAATGACGATTTGAAGCATCATTGTGTGAGTTGTTTTGCACCTGAAAGTGAAATATTCGGTTTAGTTAGTTGTGTGTGCTATCTGTACTGGAAATGTGTGGATTTCTTTTCGTCGACATGTCATTAAGTTCGTTTCAGTTATGAGAAAGTGAGTGTCGTGCTGTGATTCGCAGGTTCCACTCATCTGTTGTACGATCATGCATCCGCAATATTATTCGATTTGCACACACTAATTTTAACTATGTGAACGACGTTATATTACAGTTTCAGTTGGGATCAGGTGTCGACTATGTCATAAACTCTCAACTTCTGTCTGAAATCTATCGATGTATATTCTGTTTAATGCCACACACGGTGTTGTTGATTAGCTCAATGATGTCAAAAAATCTTGTCACCGAATATCAGTTACTAAATTGTTTGCGGACCAATGTCCTACAGCATAAGCCAGCTGAAATGCAAGTGCAACGAATGGTGTATTTGCTTATTCGTGGTGTAATGAATGCACACTGCAAGACGTCAGTTGACATGTTATCGCAATACATCTAAAGCAACATTCCGTCTTTCAGGTAGACTTGACATTTCCCACTGACACTGAGTCACACATCTGCATTGGTTTCATCGAGATCCAAAGTGTCAGTTGAATGCCAGACACAGTCTTTAATGTGGAAATTCTCATCTTGACCTTTCGAAATCAAACAATGTGAGTAAATGAAATATTTTTTAAAATTTGATTTCTCATCGATCCCGCTACACTAACACAGAGCATTCCTGAAATATGAAATTGTATGCCATTCTGTTGGTGATAATTGCTTCGCGACATGTTGTCAGTCTCAAGGTATGGTGAATGTAATAATTATCCAAGGCAATAAAAGCAGTTATTTAAGCATAGACTATTATATATATATATATATATATATATATATATATATATATATATATATATATATCACTGCTTCACAGCGAACATGTTAAACACTTTTTCAGAGTTCAATGCTTCATAGTGTTTCAACTCGCCAGTTAGCGCGACTATCTACTGGAGTCTTCAGATCGCATCGGCTTCACTTCCAATTGGTTGACCCAATAGGCCTTTAATTAGAAATTAGGAATTTTCATCTCGAAGCGTACTGCTAAGGAGTCACGCAATATGAGGAAACAGGTACACTGTATCCTAGATTTTCAATGGTTCCCCTATTAATGTCAACTCATGATGAAAGCAATCAATAAATTAAAATCCTCACACTCTTCAAACCACACAGTTGCATATTTGGTGGTTTGCATAATAGTATTGAAAAGACGGACACAAGAGCAAATGAACTACTGTGTCCACAGCTCAATTATTGAAGGTAATTTGAGACAACAGGGATTTCCCAAAGTGTAATAGTAATATGATAACAATAAAAATGACCGGAATGATAATTGTCATTGGGATCATCTTATTTCAATGCCATGGGTTACTGCCAGTTTTGACATTTCGACAGAGTCACTTGAACAGAAACATTTAAAGAAAATACTGATGGCAGTTAATTTTGGTTATACAAGGAATTTACATGTTCTCATTCGGAGCACAGAAGTCTGTCAAGCTGATGTGACTAAAAAACTAGTGGGCATTATCTTAACATGCATCGACCAACTCCATCTATACATCTATCACTTATGACAAATCTACCAGATATGAAAACTTATGGCGACGTAACCTACGCAAGAAAACACCCTAAGTAGTAATCACCAGTGGAGCACACAAATCATGAACACGTTGAAATGTCTATCAAAATACTTCGTCAATGATAAAAATGTGTGATACTTACTTACTCAGTGTATCGTTCCAGTGAATGCTCGTTTTCTCGTTTATTATGGTGAAATATGCTTTCTCTTATATTCATTCTGTATCAACTCACAATATCTAAATAACCAATGCAACAGTTTGTGTGAGCCAAACATACAAATAATGAATTAGATTGGATACTTGTAGGTGAGAAATGCACACTTGTGTAGGTTGAGAGTGTAATCTGTGTTTGTCAGATTTGTACAGCTACAGATCCATCGGTGGGTGGCTAACGCTTGTTTTGCTAAACAGACTTATGAAAAAAAAGTAATGTGAGGAAACCTTGCATTATTGGTTTGCAGAGCAGGGTGAACTGGCGTAGCAAAGGCTTTCGATGCCACTTATTCGCTGACTCTAATTAGATAAGTGCAAATTCTTATGCATCGATCTGAACAGAAACATCCTGACTAATAGTATCCTCAGCAAAATTATCAGGTTAGTGATAAGGTAGATCATTGGCACGTTACGCGGTAAAACCACTTGACTTACCATAGTGTCTAAGCTTCCTTGAGTAATAGCTGAACAAAATATGAATGACGGATTTCACAATGACTGTGTGCATATTCACAAACCGACTGTCAACCAGTAAGTTACTTGGAAGCTAGTTTCTCCACTATTCGCATTGTGAACACATTGATGTGAATCGGGTTGTGAAAAGATAAATTAGTTATCATTCGTCAGGCAGTTGAATGGGTTCGTCCATGAAAATTATGTTTGAAAGTAACCTATTTCTGTGCCTCTGCTTAAATGCCAATCGAGTGGATATTGACATTCCAAGATCTAAAGTAAATAAATCGGTTCTCTACACACATGAATGCAGTAGTGAGACCAACTCAATTCACATATGAACGAGGAGGCGATGGAGGAATGATAGGATTGGTGGATTGCAGGTTAGGACGCAAACCAGAATTACTTTTGGAGACCATACACATCCAAGTAGCTCCTCGGTTTCCAAGTCATTTCATCCTATCTCAGTTCAAGTAGGATTGGTTAAGTGTTTAACTGGCAAGATAAAATGCATACTGGTGGGACAGAGAATACGAGACGAGAGAATGAACACATTGGGAATAAATCACATCTCTGCTATCGCACCATAGGAGTTGTAACCATGTAGGTGCTGCTACCACTACTTCTGATACCAAGAATAATTTCAGTGATATTGTTGACAGGATGGAGAGAAAATTCAAAATACTCCCTGTGTCAGCATGCGAAGATGGCACTTCATCACTGTTAAGAATAATCCTGTGTAAACTGGGATCAAAAGTGCCATCCGAAACTGCAGTGTCACTGAGAAACAAGGTTTGTGGAGTATAGCAGCCTGTAGATCCAATTAGCAGATTAATTTATTTTTTCAAATTGCCTGCAAACATGGTGAAATCGAGTGTATAGACAGGTCAAAGTAGTCGACCAGGGTCAGTAAGACTTCCAAATACAAAATCTTAACCTAATCAAGATAAGTGGATCCATATAAGTTTGAGAATCTAGGGAAAGGCTCTTCTATTTTTATGCACTTGATTACATGCAATCACACAAAATGGGTGGAACACAGAGTCAATAATTGATACTGACTTCGTTGCATGGATGCAGAGACTCATTCACAGAACTTTGTTTATCGAACCAACAACAAACTGATGCAACAGAAGTGGTGCTTCACCTGCTCTAAATAAGTGGAAAATTCCCCCTACTTGCGTAATGAAGAGAAAGATACAACTGGAACGCTGTAAACTGTCTCAATGTTACGGAGTTACCTGATATGAATATGGAAAATAAACTGTGTCCGAAACCCTACACATTAAATAATGCTCTTTCACACTTTCATGGGTATTCTACACAGAATCAAATTTTTCCCATTGTCACCTACTGCTGGAATCAGCGACAGAAACAAACTGCACCAAGCTAATTGGCACAGTATCAACTAACGCTGCAACACCTTCACTTCAATGAAATATTGACTGGAACTCATTTCAACAACACAATTCTTGAATAACCAGGATACGCATACTGTAAGGATCTTGAACATTCATTCCTATCATAAATGTTCACGTGACGGAGCACATATAATAGTAAATCCAAATAATACTTCATTTCATCAATATTTCAGTGATCAGAAAGCAGAAAATGCAGTTCAGATTTTGTTGAGTCACTTTACGAACACGATGAAACACACATGTTATTTATCCACAACTGTCTAGTGGAGTAATGTAAAAATGAAATACCACAAATTTGACTACACGACTCTTCGAAGTCCCGATGGGTGTCCAAAAGTGATTATATTTTTGTCAAAACTTTGAAATATTGTTCACTCAATGGCTTCAACACTCAAAAACAGGTAGGCTGATCACTCTTGCTCTCTTTCTTTCCCTCTCTTGTGGCTGAGTATATCATGCAGGTGTTTGTCAGAAAATTACACATTATGGCGTATGCTCCCTATCGATTAATATATTCTATGCAAAACCTACTGTTGTCAAGCTCACTGGTTATGTGGCCTATGGGTAGACACGCTTGGTACATTAGCATAATAGAACACGATCGACTTGTCGCAATGAACCAGTCTGTTTTCTGCAGGAAAGAAGAAAATCTATTCTTTCAAATGTACTGTTCACATTCCTTCGTCTATAATAAGAGAAAGAATCACAACTGGCAATTACGAAAGATGACGACTGGTTGAATATTTGATATCCGAAACTCACAACGAAGAGTTGAATGACGGGCACTAATGCCAGGGCTTCCACACTAATTTCAACCGGTGGAATCAATGTCCCAACGATTCTCATCATATTGCGAGTTGTGAATGAACAGGTTTGAATACATATTATATTTTGAGGAGCTGGATTACCTGATAGAATCGGCCATTTTCTAGTTAACTGTACTATGTGAAGGACAGACAGCTACTTCTGCATGTGGAGCGAAAAATGTGTGCGTTTAGCATTAGCCTGTACAATCATTTCGATGGGTAGTGCCGTTTGTATCTTATGTGTTATCTGCTTACTTCACAATGTTGTTTATTTAGTGTGCGCACAGTCATTTCCTCAACAACGGTTGCTGTTGAGACATCATGTATATCCCGAAGCATGGATTACACCACTGATGCTTTCGGTCAATCGGCATACATTCTTCTACCAGTAGACACCGGAAATCCCATTCTTGCTTTCAAGTTAACTAAGATAATACCAACCGTGATCTACTTAAAGATTTCTGGAGTGTTGACGCTTTTACAAACGACGCAGGAAAAATGAAGCAAATGAATGTGCAGCAATTTGATGATTTTTGAATTAAACTGCCACTGCTTCTTCTTGTAGGTGATTGGGTTCAGGACTACTCAGTTTGGAAACATGGTGATGGATTCTTCGAAATACGTGTCATTTAAATTAAAAAGAACCAAACGCCCACAACAAATTGTTCTAAAACTTGGTTTGCTTTCCAAAGCGAACTCAACCGAAGCTTTGTATTGGATTTCCAATTTTAAACTCACCCCATCACACTTGGCTCGCCCCCTAACCACCGTCCGCACCAATGAACTTGTTCCACTTGGTTTGCTGTTGATCTATTTTCAGATTTCACACACCATCACTTACTGGTCACTCATGTTTGGCGACTTCAAGGGGTCAGCGTATTGCGTTTATTGGTGGACATGAACGCAGGAATCAATGAATCAGGTATCATATCTGATGTCGATCATGAGGTTTCTTCACTTTTCACAAATTCTATTACATCACGTGAGTGCATTGTTGCCTGTAATGTGCATAGGCGATCTAGTGATGGTCATTAACTTTCGGTTAGGTAGCTTATTCATTGACAGAACAAGCACTTCCCTTGTTCACTCGCTCCTAACTGAAGTTGTTACCTAGTTTATTCTTCGACTTGATACCAGTGGACACGAGTCATTTCCGTCTGATGAAACACGCCGACAAAGTTCTCACTAGAACCTGGAAGCAAGAAAGTAAGATGGAACCAAGCTCTCTACCGGTAGATCACGCACATGTATAAATTCTGTTATTCACTTAGACGTGGCCAAGTCAGTGGTCGAAATAGTCGGTATTAAAACAGCAGTCTTCAAATGCCATCCTGTGTCACTGTAAGCACCTCTACAATATATATTGCAAGTGAAGAGCTTACTGACATGAACTGTGACATAGAAACTTCTAGATGTCTTCAAGATGCCGTGATGACTGTTTTTGGTCCAAACGGTCTACAGACGGTTGTCGTCATAGAAGTGTTCAGCAGAGTAAGCTTCATCGAACTCAAGAAACACAACAGCATGAGGAATTAAGTTCATCGCTACATTCAATATAGCATTTCACTCATCCTGCGAATGTAAGTAAACATTATTAGCAAATGGCAATTTCAGCTGAAAGAGCACAATGGAATGAAGATGATGAAGAACAAGCCTTTATGTTTAATAGCGTTTTCTAACCTAGGTGGTTTGTCATTGTCTGCGTGCACCTGCTTGATATGGGATTACAAGTTATTGGTCCCATCAATCTTCAATGTTTCTCGGTAAGCTATCGAGTTAAAACTAAAGTTTCTACCCATGAATTCACCTAGTGTTTACATTTGCCTGAACATCTGTCAATATAATTCTTGTTTATCCTCAACGCAATTTTGTTCTGCCCACTGCATGGAGACATACTATGATTCCCTTCTTCAGTTTTCTGCTCTGGTAAATTGTTGTTGAAAATTCCGCACCAAGCTCATCTCTTCTTTTTCTATGGATTGATAAACTACTGGATGGATGAATTTCTCATTCATTTTATATGAACCACATAATTATTTATTTGATTCATCAATTACTACCAAGCAATAATTGTTCTCTTCTCATATTTAATAATCCTTTTGCACAATTATACGCATGTAAATTACTTAGATTTTCAATGATTTTAATGTTTAGCAATATAATAGCTGGTATTATATGTTATTCATGTAACGTCTCCATGTTGGACAACCTCGTAGATTATATAAGCTGCTGGAACGTTTGGTTGTGTGACGAGTCTTTAAACTGCAGTAAGCTTCGCAAAGAAGTTTCTGTACAGTTAGGCCTTTCATAAGGCATGCTTGCTA